AAAAATTTAAAATTTAAAATATATATTTTTATAAAAAAAAAAACCATCGGTTACTCCTTTCTTCTCACTCAGAGTATTTGTCCACCACCCTTCCTAATAAAATCAGATAAAGTTGTCATGAAATGACTAAAGATGCTCACGACTTTGACTGATGTGAATCGGTTACGCCCGTCGTCGGGATTCGAGAGGAGAACGCGCCTTGATGTGTTAGGGCCCACCCAACTCCCTCCACTCGTAACCGACTGAAGCTGAGGTTGACATTGTTAGTTTTAGGGAGGGTGTTAGGCAAATACCCACCGGGTGAAAGGGAAGGAGGAGAGGTGGTCATTTAAAAAAAATGTATTTTAGGGTTATTTTTATATATTCTTTTCCAAAAGGTTATTTTGGTCAATAACCACTCAGTTGTGTCTTGCTGGCCGGTGGTTCTGAGACGAGGGGCAAAATTGCGAAATTATCTAAAATGACTACTTTATACGTAGTACACTAATAAAATGAATACTTTTTAAACATTTCTTACAAAATGGCCACAAAAATCACTCTCCAATGGCGATTTACTTTTTAAATCGGACTCCGTCACTCAGGACACCCCTAGAATTAGGTGTATTCTCTAGTTCAAGCTGAAATATATTAATTTTGAAAATTATAGCATTAATTATATTATTAACATATTTCATAAATTATAAAAAAAATATTTAATTTTAAAAAAAATATCTAAAGAATGTTACCTTCTATGTCCCCTACTTTCTATGTTAAGAGATTTTATCAGAGCAAAAAGATCCTATAAATCTATATTCAATTTATTTTGAATAATCTGTTAGAGATAATTTTAAATTATGTTTAGCAAACTAGCAGATAGCTGATAAATTAACTGATGACTGTAATCTAGCTTATGAACTAAATATATTTGCAAGAACAAGCAAATAAGCTAGTTGAAAAGTGTAAAATAACCAAAAACTACATGTTTTTAAATTAATAAAATTTAATATTTCATGATATATTTAAAACAATTCACTAATAATGTCATATGTTAATTAGATACAAACCAAATGTTAAAAATAAATAAATAAT